GCCGTGTGCCGAACGTTGCCGACCCCTGTGTTAAGGTTTTCTATAGTACTAGGTTTCAGAGTAGCAGCCGTGTTACTCTGTATCCGCAAAAAGAACAGGAGTACTTGTGGCACCTTAGAGACTAACACATTTATAAATTTATAAATGTATTAGTCTCTAAGGTGCCACAAGTACTCCTGTTCTTTTTCCGGATACAGACTAACACGGTTGCTACTCTGAAACCTGTCATTATGCAAGGCACTGCATTTAGCCGTATGGAGTGGAAATCCATCAACTTCATGAAAAAACTTGTACAGATACAGACAGACATCATCTTCCTTTCCAAATGCAAGCAGATGGACATCATACCAAAAGGACTAAAGGTAAATAAATTTGTTAGTCTCTAAGGTGCCACAAGTACTCCTGTTCTTTCTATAGTACTAGTTACTGTAGCATCTAAAGGTATGCCTTAATGGCTTCTAGGCCACAATTGCAGATCCACAGTTATTCAGGATGCAGTTTTGAAATATTTTTCTTCGGTGGCTTTTATTATATGTAAAAATTCTAACCCTAAATTAATCCTATATGTAACTTCATTGCAATCAAGGGCTGAGATGACCCAGTGTGGTGTTTGAAATAATTCTCTTGTTTAATATAGCATGAAGTTTGGGTCAGGGCACAGAATATTTCAATATGTGAACCAAATGCTGTAGTAAATGCAGCTATTTGTCTTACACAAAACAATTCATTTAAACATGCTGTCCACACAACCTTTCTTAAAGTGGCACCATTACCTTTTTCTATTTAAAATAGAAACTGATGATGTCCTCTTGCTTCTGGCAACACTAACTCCCTTTCCCCCTCCCCCGCCAGTGTTCTGGTGGAGCTCTCTAGGGATGAACCATTCCCTCTCTATGGCCTCTCTAACGACATTGCCAATAATGATGCCAATTGTGTTGTGGATATTTGTCTAGTAGAAAGTAGTCTGAGATTACCCACAATTCCAGGCAGGTCAATGGAAAAACTTACAGTTTACCACTGCTTGGACGGTCCCATTTTGAACTGGTATCTTAAATCCTCCTTTTTATAACTTTTTTAAATGAAGCAATGATCATTCCTTTTCTTAAGCCTATCATCTGAGAGCATTCATTGTCATCTGTTTTTTTTCTTTTATTTGATGATGACCTGATTAGTTGTGAAAATCCTGACGCTACTATGTAGAAGTAAATTGAGCTTGTTTCATCATATCATGTTGGTGTAAAACTGGAGTAGCACAGTGGTGGATTAGGTCCAACATGTTCAAGGAATAACTTCAAGCTAAGATGATTAGTGAATATATATCAACCTAAAATCACAGTTATTAAAATAATATGCTTGGAAGTGGACATGTTAGTGTTGTGTGGGATTTTGGCCTTCTGGGACCCAAAGCAAAATGGAATTTTGCCACAATAAACCAGAAAGTTCTGTGTTTGGGTATTTGCCAAAATTTTAATTTTTCTAACCTAACTACACAAAGAATACTAAACAGAAATACTTCAAATAGCATATATAACATAGCAATAAAGATGGATGATACGATCATAAGAGAAGGTGAAGTTGAGATAGTTAAAGGTAGGCAACCCCCCAAAACACTAGTCAAAACTTGGCCACCCCCTTATGTTTTGTTACACTGCAACAACATTGGTGACTGACACATCTTAAATGTAACTGATTTTATTGCAAACCAACATCTGGAAAGAATTTAAAACAATATTTACCCTTGGTAAGATTACAAAGGGCAACTCTTGATTTTAGATGATATACATTATGTATTTTTCTTAGCACAGTTGCCATGGAAAAGAAAAATCAAATTAAAAACATGCATGTCAAAATATAAATGTCAGACAGTTTAGATGGCCCATGCTAATAATCCATCACAAAGCACTGAGCTGGCTGAACAATGTGATACTTTAAAAAATGAAATAAAAACCTCATGTAATGGAATGTCCAACAGACATTTATATATTCATCTCCCTATCTTGCTGGTATACATTGTTTTCAATGGCTGTTGACAGGACTGGAGTTTAACCCTTGGTGTTACCCAAACAAGTCATGAAAACATTTAATATCAGAAGTAGAGCAATAGGCTGAGCCCTTCTAAGTGCTTAGGATGAAACTCTACTTGCTTCACTTATACAAGTAGTCTTGTTGGGGGGCTACTAGCATAAGTAAGGCAAGCTGGATTTTACCCATAGTGGCCCTTATACTAAACTCTGTTAACAGCACCAATGTCCATTATTTCACCACTTCACAAATAATTACTTGGCAGGTTTGTCGTTTACTCTCTGTACACAGACGTCACTTCCCAAATGTGTTTTTCCAGTTTAGGTCTCTGGACATCTAGTAAATGCACTGCATAGGCTAAACATGTTACAGATGCCCAGCACCCAGTGGCAGTGTATTACCTATAATGTAGCTTATATACAAGGGCTCGACCCACAGGCCAACATCAATAAGTGCAAATTCTGCTAATCATAATGGGAAGAATACATGAAATCCTACAATTTCCAAAAATTGATTGGAGTGCAAATACATGTAAGCTTCTTCCAACTTATTTTTGAGATAGCTAATGGTGTGGGGGATAAATTCTGATCTCTGTCTGAAAGGTTGTTACTCCTTCACAGAGAGATGGAGCAGCAAGGACTGAGAACAGACTATTCCTTTTTCTGGTGTTTGTGTTGTTAACACATTCCTCTTTAACATTTTAGAGCGACTTGGAAACACTAAGACAAAAGAACAGCTCGCTCATGCAAAGCACCCTGCTGGTCCGTATGGTACTATGCTCAAAACAAAAATTAGAGGGTATTACCTGCAATAATGCATATTTGTATCGTAATTGACAATTTTTGCTGTGAAAAGATTTTTGTGTTTCAGAGGCCAAGCTTAAAGTTTTCATACAGAAACTCAACATATTTCCAGCAATAATGGCTGGGGAAGGGAAGTTTTACTGGACTAGACTTAATAACTTCATGTGGTAGCCACTCCTTTGAAAATCCCCCTAGAACAGTAGTTTTCGACTTGTGGTCCACAGTCCCCTGGGGGTTCGCAGACTACGGCTAAGATTTCCAAAGGGGTCTGCACCTCATTTGAAATTTGTTACTGCTCTGCAAATGAAAAAAGATTAAAACCCACTGCCCTACAGGCAAATCATCAGGGGACTTAAAGGACCCTGATTTCCCTTTCCCGTTTTGGGATGTCTGCTGCATTAGTCCCTTGACCAAATTTTGGTAAACTTTGCATTAACACTTCCTTTGGTGACAGCAATTTGGAAAAGTCTGGCACTCCGGTGCTGAAAGGAACAAGACAACAGCAAACAGAAGAGCTCCCCTCAAAATCTGTTAGAAGAAAACAAAACCCTTTTTTAAAACTCTGAAGAGAGAAATGTTTGCTTATATTTGAAATGGAGACCTTGAAAGTAGAATATGATATAACTGCATCCACAGTAGAGGCTGCAGTTTCTTAAATCTATATAGCTAAATCTGTACAAAAACTGTAGACCAGCCCTTTGGCAGATAATAAACAAAGGTGCTGACTCATCACGACTGTTTTCAGACAATTGTGAAGCAGACATGCCAAACCCGTGGGAAAAACAAACAAACAGAAATTGGGCTTGTTTTGGCTTAATTGGCTTGAGTTGCTTGTTGGGCTTGTAGCTTGTTGATGCTTTTTTTTTTTTTTTTTAAATTGGCTCCCGGCAAGGGCGGGGGGACAGTCAAGGGTTCACAGCGGGCCCACCACAGTCCCAGACTGCACGCCGGGGGATCTAGTCCCATAGAGTGTTGGGGTTCTTAGGGATTTGCCTTGTTTTGAAATCGGATTAGCTTGATGTTTGGCTTATTGTGGACGTCGGGGTGCTTATTTACCACATGAAAGTTGGCAACTGTGTCGTGAAGGCGTTTCTTAAGAGAGATAATACCTTAAAGAGGGTTGTGAGGCTTAATGTTTGCAAAGTGCTTTGAGTTCTTTGTCTGAAATGTACTATAGAAGTGGAAAGGAGTGTTACTGTTCTGTGAGATATCTTTTGAGAGAGTTACCGAAGTCAAGGCTACTTTGGAAGGATGAGAGAGAGCCTGAGAAAACAAGACCACAGACCTGCCTGTTTGCGTGGAAAGTGTTATTTGAACAGCTAGGAGAGCTTTCCATTAAACCAGTCCAGAGCCAGTTTGTACATAAGAAATGCACCTGAGAACCGAATTGCTGTGCTGCTGACGGATAAGCCATTGCTGGACTAAGAGCATGTTTCCTAGAGAACACTTGGTGCATGGGTGGGTAGAAACAAACAGGGAGCTGAGTTTTTATTGAGAGAAAAGGTGTACTCCATCATGAAGTCAACTATCCACTACAAGACTTTCGTCTTGAATATAGTCCATTAAAAGGGTTTCTTCTAGATTAAAGCTAGTGATTTAGATCTGTTTAAATTCAAGTATCATTACTAGTGGAGGGATGGTGGTGGGAATTGCAGTAATGAAATGCTTGTTACTGCATCATTTATATCATTATGGAATATACATCCCTACACAGAATATCAGGGTTGGAAGGGACCTCAGGAGGTCATCTAGTCCAACCCCCTGCTCAAAGCAGGACCAATTCCCAACTAAATCATCCCAGCCAGGGCTTTGTCAAGCCTGACCTTAAAAACCTCTAAGGAAGGAGATTCCACCACCTCCCTAGGTAACCCATTCCAGTGCTTCACCACCCTCCTCGTGGAAAAAGTTTTTCCTAATATCCAACCTAAGCCTCCCCCACTGCAACTTGAGACCATTACTCCTTGTTCTGTCATCAGGTATCACTGAGAACAGTCTAGATCCATCCTCTTTGGAACCCCCGTTCAGGTAGTTGAAAGCAGCTATCAAATCCCCCCTCATTCTTCTCTGCTGCAGACTAAACAATCCCAGTTCCCTCAGCCTCTCCTCATAAGTCATGTGCTCTAGCCCCCTAATCATTTTTGTTGCCCTCCGCTGGACTCTTTCGAATTTTTCCACATCCTTCTTGTAGTGTGGGGCCCAAAACTGGACACAGTACTCCAGATGAGACCTCACCAATGTCAAATAGAGGGGAATGATCATGTCCCTCGATCTGCTGGCAATGCCCCTACTTATACAGCCTAAAATGCCGTTAGCCTTCTTGGCAACAAGGGCACACTGACTCATATCCAGCTTCTCGTCCACTGTAACCCCTAGGTTCTTTTCTGCAGAACTGCTTCCTAGCCATTCGGTCCCTAGTCTGTAACAGTGAATGGGATTCTTCCGTCCTAAGTCCACGACTCTGCACTTGTCCTTGTTGAACCTCATCAGGTTTCTTTTCGGCCAATCCTCTAATTTGTCTAGGTCCCTCTGTATCCTATCCCTACCCTGCAGTGTATCTACCACTCCTCCCAGTTTAGTGTCATCTGCAAACTTGCTGAGAGTGCAGTCCATGCCATCCTCCAGATCATTAATGAAGATATTGAACAAAACCGGCCCCAGGACTGACCCTTGGGGCACTCCGCTTGATACTGGCTGCCAACTAGACATGTAATGAAGCCGAGCTTGCAGGGGTTGGGACTAGGCCTATAGATCTGTGATTACACAGTTCCACCCTCCTCCTTTCCCCAATCCACAAAGGGTGTACAGCCAGGGTAGTCCTTGGACAGTCTTCCATAAAGAAACTGAAAAGATTGGGACTGTTTAGAAGAGACAGAAGGGATATGATAATGGTATACAAAATAAATGGTAGAGAGAAAGTAGATCTGAAACTATCCACCCTGTGCCACAAAATCAGAAACAAGGGGCATTCATAAACACTGAGCTAAAAAGGATGAGCTGAAGAATCCACTATGTGGAAGGTGGAAACTGGGAATAGCTGAACAAGGATGGTGTGATGAAGGGAGCAGGGGTAGGGAGAAAGACCAAGACCCAGTTGGAAAGCACAAGGGGGGAGGGGGGGAGAGAAACGGACACTGCAAGAGGCCTGCAATGTACATCACAGCATTTAGAAATACCATAGTATCTAAATTATCAAAATGTCTGTACTACTGTACAGTGGTTAATTATCTGACCACTTCTCACAAGGTAGCTTTTCTCTTTAAACTGTTAGAGTAGAACAAACTAGTATAGTTTCACAGCTTAACCTGCCGTACCACAATTCCATCATAATTTAAATTCAATTTTAGTACAAACCTACACTGTTACATTTGCACTTGTATAAAGCATCTTGATTGTTTTATGGTTCATTTAGTCACCTTTAGAATTTTTTTAAATAAAAGATAGCATAATTAAATGGATACAAATACAAATAAGTGTTCAGATTTAATGTTTTAACAGTATTTTTACACATATCCTCACATATGTTGGTGCTATATCAGTAAAACAAAGGGGGATAAAAAAAAATCGCTACAGCTAAGTTTCCAGAGATTTGAAAGTATATACACTTCTACACTAAATGAGGAACCTTGACAGTTTCTCAGAGCTGAATCTTGTTCTACAGGACATTTTACTATATACAGTTAGAAATATTTTACTATCCCTCAGGACAAACAGCAGACCACCTTATGTCTTTCTTAAGTAAGCCACTTTGACAACATTCAATACAAGGAGTACACGAATACAAATCCACAATAAAGTATACCTCACACCAGTTAACTGCAGATTCCTTGTTTAATAGTTAGTTTTACATTCACACTGAGGTGGTTTCCCCCATAAAAATATTTAATTACTTTCCACGTTGTCTGCACATATTTTTAGCATGCACTGAAGTGAATGACAGAGGCACAGTCCAATAGACCACTGCAACTGGCTAAAGAAAGTGAAAAAACAGCCAAAATATTTCAAATTAAAAAAGAGACAAGTAGCAAATCTTAGAACAAGAACCACTCTTAAAGATGGAAACACATTTTAGAAGAACATTTATCTTCAAAGTAAAATGGAAACTATAATATGATCAAATGTACTGGCTATTGTAAGCCACTTCTGTTGTACTGATGATTCAGATTTCCTTAGGACAAGCATCCAGAAACCTTGAGGGCACTGCCAACCAGTATAAATAGCTCTTCTCGCAGGTTTGTAATATCCTCTTAAAAGTGAAACTTTCCACTTTGGCTAGGACGGAATATTGTTTTGAAATGTGCCTATTACAGAATAGACAATTCTCTTTTCTTTGTGTACCAAGATTAGTATCTGCACAACTTTGGAAAAGATTTTTCATTACACACACACACACACACCCCCACCAGTAAGGGGCATAAGATGTATTTTTCAGTCTAAGCGTGGATGATTTGCTTAAGACCTTTCAATTAGTAGATTTTGATTAAACAGTCCACAAAATGTGTGCTTTGTTGTCTTTAAAGCATATATTTCAAATAGAAAAACCCTGATTCCCACTTCGTGTGTAGTTAGAGGATTACCCCTGGTAGCACTCTTATTTTGGAATGTGTATATAAAGAAAGGTTATTAAAAATGTATTGAAAAGATAGTCAATGGGTAGTGTTGGCTAAAGCTTCCAATGAAACTTGAACAGCAGCAGAAGCTGGAGATCACATCTTTGTGGAAAGTTTAATGATTATGAATTCATTTTACATATTATATGCTATAATTTTCTCCATTGTTTAAAGCACTTTAATGTATAATTACTGAATAGACTAATTTTTTTGTTCACTCATGAGCAAACATTTAAGCCCATCTAAGTTGATTTAACCTTAACAGATAGTTTTACTCTGAAAAATGGCTCTGTAAAACATGGTATTTAGTGTGCAATGTTTTTCACTTGCTTCCCTATCAATTGTGCTAAGTTGACAAGTAAAAAAGATTTCTGTAGAGTCTAGCTTGGATTTTTCATTCTTGCACACCACCATCAGTAAGATACGTCCATGCCAAATTATGTTTGTGACATCCATTTAACCTCCAGTGTTCTTGCACAGGGGTAGCTGAGTGGAATTAAACAATTGTGTGATGATGCATGAGGAAAAAAGAATCCAGCTCCCTCTTTCAGCATTGTAGAGCTAAAAGGAGGACAAATTAAAAACTGTCACTAAGCAAGCAGATATAACCCCGAGTAAGGAACGAGTTGAGTATGGTGCAATTTGTACATTCTCTTTTCAAAGTAGACCGACACTAACTTTTGGTAGTTCCATCTTCACAACCAAGGGTTGCTGTAACAATTGTTTTACACACTTCTAGACAAAAATATTTTTTCAAACAACTATTGGTTCAACAGCTGTGGCTATCTTTAGGGTTATGATTTTCCAAGCCAAGATTCATTTATCACCTGGATAAATATGAAAAAGACTTGTAAGGCAACAGATTCTCTCTCTCACCCATCTTGTAGTAGTTTTGAAATACATTCAACTTTTGTGCCTAAACTAGCTGACAGCATCCTTTGTACTTATCTAGTTTTGCACTTTGGTCAGAAAAAAATTGCATAGAAAATTATGCTTCTGAAAATAAAGCTGTATAGCTTTTTTGTGTGTGCAGTATACTACAAACGATCATGGTTCTACAAACTGATCTTTCAAAATTCTTGTGAAATTAAGAACATGTTCTAGAATTTACCATATAACTTGCAATATATACCAGCATACAATAGATCTCATGGCTTGATTTAGATTAACAGAAATTTGTTACAGATTTCAAAAAGGGCCCAACAGTTTCAGATACAAATGGATTGACACACCTCACAGGTAACTGTTATAATCAAAGCATACGAGTTGTATAAGTTAGTCAAGCCTCAATATGAATAGGGAATGTTGAAACAGTAGTAAACTAAACACTAAAGAGCATTCTTGGTCATTTTAAAAATTATACCTACATGTTTAATATTCTCTAGTCCCCAAATGAAAAGCTACGTGATGGCAGATGGTTAGCAATTAATTAATGGAACTTTCATAAGCACCTTGCCTTTTCTGGGGCTATTAGGAAGAATAGATTGGCACCATTATTCCAAAAGTAAATGTCATTTGTACTTTTGCTTCATTTAGGAAAAGTTACAAAACTAGCAGACTTAAACTATCCAGATAGTACAATTTGCATTGAAGTATATAACCAAGACTGTTCCAACTATCATTTTTTCCTTTATGCCAAAAAGCTTAAAGATTGCTGTTTTCTACTGGCAGAGGTCAAAATTAGGTTTCCCAATAAAAGTGGCCTGACATTCAGAGGTACCGAGCACCTACAACTCCTACTGACAGCAATATATGACTTAGGAGCCTAACTTCAGGCAGCAGGGTTGAAAATTTTGGCCACAGAAATCAGTTTCAGATTAAATACAAACATTTTACACAAAAACGTCCATCTGTTATGTTAAAAAATATATCTATATATGGACAGTTACTTTTTTCCAAGAGTCATACGATCTCTCTTGCTATAGGAATATCAGCACAAGCATCTAGGCTCTTTTGCCAAGCCCCTTCTTAAACCACATGAATTTATATATATACAGATTAACACATTATAATGGATTTAATACTTTTCTTTAGAGACCGTCTGCGCAAAACAAATTGTAAGTCAACATTACAAGACTTTTAATGTCAAAAGTGCTTTTGCAAAGAATACAGTACACAGATGTGTATTCAAAGTCTCAAAATACTTCATGAATTCTGAAGTGGTTATCTAAGGAAGGGACTTCATCTGCAAAATGAAGCAGTTTATTTACTTGCACACCAAATTCTTCAAGAATCTGCACAAATTTCTTGTGCTCCTTCCCAATCCATGACCTCATTGTATCAAACACTTGGTAAGGTGTAACATGAGCATGAACTGCAATCCCTGTCTCTGCAAATTCTTTCAACACTTCAGGATCAGTAACCCAAGTATTGCTTCCTCCAGAGTGACCACCATCCAGCCAGTAAAATGCTTTTATATTTTTTATAAAGGCATCTGTGTTCTTGTCCTTTTTCGCTTCTTTTAACTCATAAAGCAGCTGGTTCAAAACCACACAACCTTTACTGAAGCCAATCAAAGTAAATGATGCTTCACCTATAACAGATGGTGTACCAAAACTCATAGCAGAATTATCAGAATATTCCCAATTTCTCTCTCTCTGTGATGCTGGACAGCCATTTGTAGTAGGAACAGATTTTGATTTACAAACAGCTATCGTTTCATCCTTGTTGAAATTATACATACTCTTTTGGGACAGCAAAATGTTCTGGGTGATACTGAATGCATTAACTAGCAACGCATGAAGGTGTGTGAAAGCTCCAAAGTCACTGCTGTGTTCTGGTGCTCCAAACAAATTACTTGCCACAAAATTATCATAGCAGCTAAATTTGTGCAGATGCATACGGGAACATTTTACAACCCAAACATAACTATTAGGGAATCGGCGAGCGAGTATAGTAGCAATGTTTTCTAAACTCCAGCACTCCCATTGAAAGTTTTCTGGATGGCAGGCCATAACGTCACGATAGTTCTGAAAGAAACGAGACAGACAATACATTACTATGCTGTAAGAATGCAGTGTTTCTGGTGAGCAAAGGTTTAACTCTCGGTTTGTTTCAGACTCTCTAGCACAAGTACTTATGGAAAGGGCTATGGTTGGCTGCTAGAGAGGGATACATGATTGTCTTTGGGAAAGTATGTCTTTGAGACATTCAACACCCAGGATCACAGGATGAGGTTAATCTCCAAAATGGGAGATTTTCTTTCTGTTTTCTTTCTGATAAGTAAAATATGTAAACTTAAACAAGTCTTAAAGAAAAGATGTTGCTCACTGCACACACATTATAGCAAAATATTACCCAAATACAGCATTCAGTCTCCAAGTGTTGATTTTTTTTGTGTTCTGGTGAATTCCCACTTCAAAAGGCTAAGATTCTGTAGACTACAGATTACATTCAATTATATTCAGCCTCACAAAAAAATACTAATTCACCATTATTGTTTGGCCTTAAAATGTAAAACTATTTTAACATCACTTTAAGGATAAAAAATGCACAGGAAACTAATCAAAGACATCATCGATCTCATTTCTTTTTAAGAGAGGTTAATGCATTCCACTTATATCCACCTTGCTAACAGTGCAAACAACAACTCCCAGAACTATGGGTGGTCTTCCACAGTCCTATTTCTATTAATGGAATGGAACTGATTAGCTTTTCACGAAGGATAATGCAAGAGAAATGACACACAACTCTTGACAAGCCAGACCTAGTTTACAGAGGACAAAGTCTATGCTTCTTTGCACAGTCACAAACCTTAAAAAGCAAGATAAAATTGTGTTTGTGCAGGGTTGTTGTTTTTTTTTGCTTCATTCTGGTTATGAAGGAGGAAAAGTTTTTTTTTCCTAACAAAAAGTTACTCTTCTGCTTTCTTCACCACAGAAATATTGAAGTCAATAGGACCACTCAGAGACAAAGCTAAACACGTGGGTAAGCCTTTGCAGGATCAGGGCCTCAATCTCTGAGTCTCAGTTCCCCATTTGTGCAATAAATAATACTTCACTACCTCAAAAATATGTTGCAAGTATGAATTTGTTAGTGACTGTAAACCACTCAAATGCTCCCAACTGCCACAATAAGTAACTACAGAAGTCACAATAAGTTATTGTAACTGAACATCTCAATTATTGATGCCAGTGTCAAGAACTTTCAGGCCAAGAAACATTAATTACTGGTTTTAGGTAAGAGTTTCTGTGAAAGAACAAGCCTACTAGCCCTGGTTCAAGCAGTTTATAAACTTCACTTGTGTAGCTTATTAGCTTCCAAATCTAAATAGCTAGACTTAACATTTTATAATGCATTAATGCATGGGGAGTAACTGTCAGAAAAAGAAACAGTTAACTTCTTCTTAGCGTATGTGCAACGTGCCTCAGGTGGCACGTGACCAGAGTGCATCACTGAATTTGGTCTGTTCGTTGGATCTTTAGCTTGCCCAGGCACTGACAGGGAGCACGACATGAATGCTGATCCATGTCCCCCTTCCCCCCTGTTAACTGAACCTTAGAGCTGAGAAACCAAGCACTCAAGAGCCAGAAGACTACAGGAGCTAATGCTGCTCCACAGTTTGAGATTTACCATGTCCTGTTTCTCGTTAGATTTATTATATTACTGATGATAATGTTTGGGTAAATTGCTAACATTCTAGAGCAACCTTAACTTTTGACCACTCGATTTCACACCAATATTGTTTTATTAGATTTTTAAAATAATTGTCATACACATGCACACATCATCTTAGTGAAATCTATTTTCACCCTAATAAAACAATTCAATTGTACAATACAGAGTTGTTCACTCTAGCCAGAACTGCAGTGCACACACTACAGAGAGATGAAACAAATCAGGCATCAACTTTCACTCTACTTAACTGTAAAAACTCTCACTGTATCCAAATGTAAGTAGCTCCCAGTAGATCCAAGCACACAATATATTTAACATTGAGTTGCAATGCATACTATATGAGATAATCACACTAATATTCCACACTAGTGGACAGGACTGTATTTATCTATCTATAGCAGCATTTTTATAATGCTTGCCATAAGAACGGCCATACTGGATCAGACCAAAGGTCCATCTAGCCCAGTATCCTGTCTTCCAACAGTGGCCAATGCCAGGTGCCCCAGAGGGAATGAACAGAACAGGTAATCACCAAGTGACCCATCCCCAGCTTCTGGCAAACAGAGGCTAGGGACACCATCCCCGCCCAACCAGCAGCAACATTCCCAAGTGTACCCCTGCACAGCATGCCTTTAGCTCCCTCCATTGCGGGTATTAACTGTTTCTGATGGACACACTGACAGGCGCTCCGGGAGCACAATGCTAAGCGAGTCTGAAAATGCCCCAATATAACAGAACAAAACTCTCCCCTCCTCGCAGTAGCAGGTTCAGCCTGACTCAGTAGTCCCGGGAGAACACGGGCGGGGCGGCGGGTCTACACCCCTGCCCCCGTAGGGTCCCTATGGGGGAGAACACGCCAGGGCTGCCCCCGGTCCCTGTGAGTTCGCGCTGGGGGAGGGAACAGCCCGGGGCCGCGGGTCTGTCTGCTCGGCCCCCGCCCCGGCTCTACGCGGGGCTCCCCGGCCCATCTCCCCGCCCGGCCGGCCGGTACCTGCACGTCCCCCGGGAAATAGACGACATGGTGCCGAGGCGGCGGCGGCTGCTCCGGCGGCAGCAGCAGCAAGAGGTCGTTGGTTCGGCAGGGGTCGGCGCCCGGCACCTGCGGCAGCCGCAGCCACGGGGGGCTCAGGCGGGCGGAGGAGGAGCCGCCGCCCGAGGGCCCCGCCCCGCAGCTCGGCGGGGCTCGGCACAGGCTCATGGCCCTGGCCAGGCAGAGGAAGGCCGAGCCGACCAGGCCCCTCAGCACCGAGGTGGCGGCGGGGGAGCAGCGCCCGCGCCTGCTCATAGGAGCCACCAGCCCGCGCTGGGCCTCGCGCGGCGGCCGCAGCACCAGGCCACACCTGCCGCCGACCTACAGCGCATGCGCGAGCCGAGGGGCGGCGCCGCCGGAACGGAGGGGGTGGGTCCTATCCGGAGAGAGAGATTTCGGGGCGTGGCCTGGGGGAGCTCTCCCCCTATTGGCGGTTTCGCTTCCCGCGTCTTCTTGGAAATGGAACAGGGGAAAGACCAACGGGAAAGGGATGATGGCGATACGCATGCGCACAGGTCCTGTTCGTGCCCTAGACTTTTTGCAACAGGCATAACGGCTCCCTCCTAAGGGATGCGGCAGGACAAGTAAAAGCGCAGTGGGCGATAACTGCCCGTTGCTGACCCTGCAGCCC